AGTTCAGGAGGAAGGCCCCACGTAACGCTCAAGAAATGTTCCTGAAGGACCTGGTCTCCAGATGACGCGCCCACGGCAAGGCAGGACTGCGCACAGAGGGGCTGGAATGAGCAGGAAAGGCTGTGCAGAAGTGGGATGGGGCCAGGGCAGTATGGAATTTGGACTTTGTACGGGGGTGGAGCCATAAGAGAAGAGGTGAGGGCTGGGAACGAGCTGGCTGGCTCATGGGACAGGAGACCCTGAGCCCCTTAACAGGAGCCAGGAAAGCAGCCGACATTGTTCGCGGCTCCCAGCACCACACCCAGGCCGAGCAGGTACTCAACACCTGCCAGGTGGACGAACCAGGAGCTTTGTTGGATGCAGGGAGAGGTTGAGGAAGGGCATCCTTCTGGTTCCAGCTAGGCGTTCTAGACAGAAAACCCCTCCAGAATGTAAGCGCCACGAGGGCAGAGCTGGCGTGGCTCAGCTTGTCAGCACCAGGCACCCAGTCGGGGTCTGATGAGTATTTATCCAGTGAGCGAATAAGTAAACAAATGGCAGATGTGATTTAATAAAAACATGCTCAGTTGGAATCTGGGTGGTGGGTCATCCAGGCCATTGGTCGATGCCCAGAGACGTAAATGAGCTGGAAGTGAGGGCAGGGCCATAAGGTCAATGCAATCAGCAAAGGTAGAGGGGGCCAGGAGTCAGGTAGGTGATGCCTTAACTTCTGGGAGGGCAGGGTCGGGGAGGGGATCACTTGCCATATGGCAAAAGCAGCTGAGTGTGGCTGGCAAAGTTGAGTGTCTGGAAGCCACTGGGGTACCGATAGGGAGACCAACTGTCCTGGTTTGCCTGGGACTGGGGGGTTTCCCAGGATGTGGGACTTTCAGTGCTGAAACCAGGAAAGTTCCAAGCTAACCGGGAGAGTCGGTTCCCCGAGGCACAGGTCTGCCCTCACCAGCACTGAGGTGGTACCAACCACCTTTGTAAAGTGCCTCCGAGTGTGCAAAGCACTTCCACATCCAAGGGCTCGGGTAAAAAGCAACCACAAATCTGGGAGCTAAGCCAGGCTGGCACTACAGATCTCATTTCATGGAATAGGAAACTGGGGTTCAGAGGGGAATGACCTGCACGAGGAAGGTCCCACAGCGGATAAGTAGCACGGTCACGTCTGATCTGGCCTCCAGCTCCCCTGCTTTCTGCAACCACTGGGAAGACAGGAAACAGACAAGTGCTGTCTGTCGAGCACAGCTGTGAGCCGTGCCAACTTCCTCCGGGCTGATGGATGCCAGGGGAAGCAGCAGGGGCCCTGCCCCAAGAGGGGGCCCCAGGGAAATGGGCCCATCGGGCCCTCTGCTCTTCTGGCACAGGGTGGGCAGGCGGCCACCACCTGGGATGCTGGGAGAGAGGATGGGGGTGAGGATGCTGCTGGCCACCACTCTGCTTGCCTCCCCGTAACATCCCCGTGATGGCCACCCCTTGGGTAAGGCCCAGATCCCCGTAGGCCCTCGTGAAAGGCAGAGGGATCATCTCGCCACACTCCCAGCGGACCCTGGGTGTGGAAGGGTCTCGGCAGCTCTTGGCTGAGGGGACAGGCTAGGGTACAGAGGGAAGGGGGAAGGGGGAA